CTATTGAGCTTGCAGTTCAAGCATTTAGAAAAGGAGTTGCACCAGTTATTTTTGCTTTACGTTGCTCTAGTGGGTGAATACATGAAAATAGTGCCACAAGGAAGAAAAGAAGCGTTTTTTTGTGGTATTGTACTTGAAAATGCGTATTATTCGGAAAAGTGCATTAACCAAGAGTATCAAGTATTTTAACGCTAATACAAGTATTTTTGTAAGTAAGTGATATTATAAGCTTTACCGAGCATTCGATAAATTTTTGAAATACCGGTAGCAGAAGTATTATACTTGATCATCAATTTTGAAAACTCGCAATAGAATCTACAGTCGTGCGTCGCTCGCATAATCAGTGTATGAAGACCCCCCGCATGTATCCGTTCACATATCTTTGACTTGCGTCCCGGTGTCTTCTAAGCCGCTAATGAGATCCTTTCGCCAAAATTGCTGCCACTTGGATAGTGCCATTTTTACTGTTAGCTTTAGCGTCCTCAAGACGTCGTCTTGCAATATGTCCTTGTACTGTGCTTCGGCCAACAGACGGACAAATGCTCGCAGAACATTGAAAACTATGACAAGCTATGATCGCGTGATGGCACCTCTTGGCGTACCTCCATCAGCGACGTGATTGGTTGGATAACAATTCATGTTTGCCGCAAGGTCCTTTGAAAGGCAGGCTCAGGACGTATTTGAGATTCGCTGTTACAGTATGCATCAACTGTGAGTTGTTGACGGCCGATCGCGTGAGGCACTACTAGCACGCTCTGTTAGCGATATGATTGGTCAAAAAACATCTTTACTTTTGTTGCATGCATCTAGACTCTGGATTCCACAGCCTATTCCATAATTTGAGGTTGATATGCAGATAAGAGAACCACTATATGTTGCTGACGGCCGACCGTCCCCACTGCGTCAGTTCTTGGTCGGCCCTTGCCAGACAATTGCTGGCTTTATTGTGCAGTCGCCAGCATTGAGGTTTTACTATACGAGACTGTACCCGAATGGTCCACGTGGTATCGTGCCGCTTCTTAAGGCTGGGTTGCAGCGCTGAACACCCACAAGTTCGACAGGAGAACACATCGATCTCGAGTTAAGGCAGATGAGGCTCTTTGGTGCAGACATAACGCATGGCTTGCTTATCAAGATGATCCTGCACTAGCAACCAGACGTCATCACAGCCAGGATGTATCTGCGGTGGATCGATTCACGTGTTCGTGACGTTCTCGGACGACGCGAGTGAAGTCCCGCTAAACGAACTGGTGTCGTGGACCCACTTCGAGTCGTCACGTGACCGGCAAGTGGGTGCCCGTCTATCGGAGGACAAAGGAGGACACACATGTCTCGTTGGTGAGATCGTTGTCCTCTCAGAAGATGTGGTAATCTCGGGTGGAAATACAGACGCGGTTTGGTCACGAGCCAGCAGAACCAGCGTTGCAAAGCTGCAGCATCTTTCAACGGTAAGACAAGAGTTTGTTAGTATGCTAACGTCATGACACGCCGTCCTTGCTCATTGACAAAGCTCATATCGCTGTCGCTACTGTCGATACTGCAGTCGGCGCAGAGGAAGACCGTGTTGTTTACGTTTGACATGCACAGAGTCTTCACTGAGTCGAGAGGTTCGTGCCACTATGGCACACGTCCACATCATGGCCGCCTTGTAACCAGCATCTACTTACTCTATGGCGATATGCAGCATCAGGCCAACAACCAGCGACGCACGGTTGTCGTTTTGTGGTGCCAGGCGTCATCCGAGCTCGTCGTCCAAGTACCAGAAATAATCGCCTGTATGTCTCGTGGAATGGATCGCGTTAATTCGCGCATGCAGTATGGGAATTCCACGTTGACATCTGTGTATCTTTCCTGTGCAGAAGACAATGATAACGACCAGTCTGTCTTGGACATTGTCGATGCGGATTTTATTACGGGGTTGTGGCAGCAAAGTGCTTTCGCGAACAAGGTGGACTTCCGTGTCAAGAGTCAGTATTTGCTCATCTTGTGGACATTTTTCACGGATATAGAACTGAACGACGTCGTCTTCAGCGCCAATACGATCCGTATGTACCTCGGGTCATGCCTACAACAAGCTGAGGCAGCATCAAGAAGTCAGGCAAGAGCTCCGATGGAAGATATCTGGGACTTTTTCTTCCGAGATATCTTAACCAATGTGTTTACTCCTCCATCCTGCAGGAAGCCAGCGTCTAATATCGACGCAGAATCGTTGCCGACACTCCAAAGTACGACAATCAGACTTACTGTCCAGTTATTCCTTCTAGCATTGTCATCTCATGCCGTTGAGAATCTCCTCCGCTCTGCGTTGCATGCGACCAAAGATGCGGTGAATAAAATACAACTGCAGAAGCTGTTTATCTCGCTCGTGGTGGATGTGTACGACGCACTGAGCATCATGTTTAGCGGAATGATATCGGATTTTGATGGGCAAGCTGAAAATGGCCTGTCGGCTTCACTGCCCACACTTGTAGATGGTGTGATATCGCTTTTGTACTGCCACAAACGCTTTGCTGCGTTGCAACCAGAAATATTCAGCCTATTCAAGTGTCCACAGGTTTTAACGAGCGCCTTGAACCGGGTTTTCCAAGTTTTTACAGCTCAAGTGCGGGAGACAATAATCGCCTCGGTGACTGTACAGCCTAGACTCATTGAGCGACGGTGTTGTGTCAGCAGACACAGAAACAGAGGCTTCGAGGCGGTTGCAAGTACCGCTCGCTGCTTGAGCCGGGCTCCGTACAAGTTCGAGATATCTACGATCGAGATGTGCTCAGCAAGATTAAAATGGCAGAGATCGCTCAATTTATCCGCGAGTTCGGATGCATTGACTTGGAGATTGGAGAGAATGCATTGTGCCTATCGTTGCTCTCGGTGTTTTCTTTCTCGGACGGTATGTCTGCTTCACCGATGAAATTGGTATTGAACGAGAGACTTCGAGTTTTCCGTGTGCTCCCCAGTGGTGCGTCGTCAATGATCACAACGGTGGGAGGATGGTCCATCGGCGACTATATGGGTTTGCTGTCAGATGATGCACAGTCCGTGGACATTGACTTATTCGCGTATAAGGAGATAAAATATGAAGAGAAGGATCAAGAACTGATGACTGGTGAAGTGACGATGGTGCGACAAATTAGACTATCATTAAGGCTGGAAAAGGAGCAGCACAGCAACTTTATGAGCCAAGACCCCAGCAACACTATTGCAATCGTGGATGGAATGGTGTACGCGTCGACAACAGGTTGGAGCCGCAAGCTATTTGAAATT